TAATCCTGCTGACATTTGTATACATACAAGACATATTATTTCACAGCCTCATTTAGTGTAATTACTAATACTATAATTTGCAAAGAATTTCAACTGATATATAGTAGGAAAGTAATATAATAATAATAATAATAATAATAATAATAATAATAATAATAATAATAATAATATTAATAATAATAACAATAATAATAATAATAACAATATAATACTACTAATAATAATAATAAAATTAATAATAATAATAATAATAATAATAATAATAATAATAATATAAGTATAGTTTATATAGCGCACATATCCATCTAATGTAAGATGCTCAAGGTGCTTGATATGTGGACTAGGAACTCGATCAATGACTTTCTTCGCACCTAAGGGTCCCTTCGTGTCTGTGCTACCCGGTTACCCGGTACCAGCAACTCTCGTCGTTCACCACAGGGGCTGTCTATTCCAGTACACCGGGGTATCCCCCTACTCGTCTCGAAGGATATACTGGGTTCTTTATAGTGCACACGAGCCATTGTATACACTTATAGTCCTTATCCGAGAAGACTTGTTCTACCACCAGAACCATAGGCGAGCGTGCCGTTCGAACCAGTGCCGATATTATGGATAGCTTGCGGCGCCCCTGCTAACCGCTCGGCCATTTGACTAAATATATTAGAAGTATAGTAGGTAAATTATCTGTTTTGTTGACCAATTAGTTGCTCATGTTATTAGCAACGGTTTCAGCAACGCTTGAATGACCCAATCCATCTAAGGCTTCATTAGCCTGAAGAAAGTGATGTTAACAGATGCTGAAACCATTGCTAAGGTAAGCAACTGTATTTGGTAAACAAAACTTAATTACGATACAAAAGTGCTTAATGGTATAGATTCGGGGTAGGGAGGTTACTAATTTATGACATAGGCCTACATGTTAGTCCTATTACGTCAATCTTTAAATCAATAATAGTTAAATAGTTGTTAAAGATAAAGCATAGTAATGAAGCTGATATCGCATTTAAATTTTCACAGAGGTATACATTTACGTTCTTCCACAGAGGGCCAGGTTAAGTCTCATAAACTAAGTATCATGATGAGCCTTAGGGGTGTGGAGTAAGATTCCAGTCAAAGGAATTGAAACCAGGATGTTGAAAGCAAGTGGCTTAACCAAGAGGCTATATTCAACTCCACCGTTAAGATAACTACAAGCAGAAAAGATCACTAACCCACGCGATAAGCGTGCTGAAAGTGCTGTCAACATGGGGTCCTAAAAAGTCCAAAGCAAAGTGTTTTCAGTTAGCATAGAGGGCGGTGTTAGTTACAAAAAATCTGCCAGAATCTATGCATACAATTACATGAAATGTTACTAGTGCGTACGCTACTCGTTATTAATTTTAGATCCGGAATATATTCATAATGGACAGCCTAATAACTTTCCTTCTACTAAAGGTGCTGAAGTGTTTTTTTATGAAAACACTTCAAGTCAAAGCAAATTACGTGTATATATAGAGCGCTGTTTAGTTACAATTTTACCAACCTACGGTTTCGTTTATAAAAGTTTAAAATTCATTTTTACAATTGTTTAAGTATTTAAATTTTGATAATTTGAAGCACTGCTGCATTACTGAAATTACGGCATTGATATTCATGATTTTATTTCGGCTAAAATTTCGATTTATTACGTAATCACGGGTTGGCTGATCATTAGAAGCTTTTCGCTTGTGAAGGCGTGATCACGGGTCCTTTGGAACGTGGAATTTTAAAGTACGTTAAAGTGCTCTGTTTAGATACAGATGGTATAGGATTAAGCCCTATTGTAGATTTTTATTTATTCCACACCCAACAATGTAAAATACCAATAAGCAGGTTGAATACAATCAATAAAATATAACAATTTATATAAACTATTCAAGAATTAATAAAATAGAGATTTATATTAAAAATAAAGGGGTAGAAAAATTAAGTAAAGGCATTAAATTAGTTTATAAACATTACATTGAAATTGGGGAAAGTTTAATTATGAACATTATTAATTACTTTGAATCGAGACAAGAGAGGATACCAGGTTGAGTCTACGTTACTTTTTTTCAGTTTTATGGAAACGGTGTCTCTAGTGGGATTTCAAACTGCATTCCGTATCTGGTCATTGTGGTCTAACAGTATGACACTCGCCTTCTTGCGGAGGCTGCAGGTTGGATTCTTGTTTTTGTTTGTTACTTTAAAATATAAGATTCCTTATTTACTTTTATTATTATTTATTATTACTACGATACCCTTTTACGCATTATAAATTGAAAATGCATATTAATTTACTTGAAATTAAAAAGTCGGGTTGGTGAACAACAGTCCAAAATGCGTAGTAATTTGCCGAAAACACGTCAAGTTGAGGGCACCAGGCCCTTCCAATATAGGAGAGTACGTCCAAGATGCGTCAACTTGGGGGCGCTAGGAATTTCCAATATAGGGGAAAACGTGCAAAATACGTCAACTTGAGGGCGCTAGGCATTGCCAATATAGGCGAGAACATCCAAAATACGTCAACTTAAGTGTAAGCTTTATATAGACGCTATTACATGTTCATGAATAATTAAGTAGCAATCGATGTTTGAATATTCATATCTGAGAAATCAGTCTGACCCTCCATGGTCTGACTCACCAGAACCACAAATTTTAATTACCTTTAGGTGGTGTTTTAAAGGCAAAATAATGGAAGAAAGCACGAATAGGACAGAATAGGATACAAAGCCTTAAGGGAGTACACAAAATACAAGATATTGTTTTTATTTTATACAATGCACCCTCTAATTCGGAACCCCTCTAATAGTACCAAATAACAATCTTTAGTCTTCTAACGTCAAAGCTAATTCGCTAATTGGAGACCGAAACCGGTCCTAAAATGGTCTTGAATTAGAATGCGAATTGTAGGCCTATTAACCTAAGCCTACATAGGCCCCTATGCAATTCAATTTCTTTCGTTGCTTTCTGAGCCACCATAGCCTATTATCCGCATAAATAAAAATACTACAATCACTAGCGGTCATATAGGGAATAACATTTTAATCTGACAAAAATTCAGAAAGGATGCAGTGGCGGGTCCAGGGAGCTTAAGGGGGTTCGGACGAACACCCCTCTGTGAAGAAATGTAAAAAAAAATACTACTGGATCTTGGCCCACAAAAGGCATTCTAACCTACCTAGGCATAGGTTGGAAGAACGGACAAACAAGGATTAGCTTAACTAGCCTTCAATTAGGCCTAAAATTAAAAACACTGTTTTGGTTCGAAACATAATTTTTATACGAAAGTGCGGTCTTCATGCCTATCGGTTCATCGATTCATGGAATAAAAAATACGTATGCATAATAGGCCTATTTACTGTAATAAAAATGAGATAAATTTACCTGGCCGTTTACAAGTGGGAAAAACCTCGAATTTTGAACAACGAGAAAACGACCTGATTTTGGTCTATGGTTATGAAGTTCAAGTGGCGTACATTTCTATAACTGGTGCACGGTGATTGATGGTGGTCAAGTCAAATAAAAGGGTAAATGAAAAGTATAAAGAAAAATGGCAAACAGAATTGAATACTGCCATAAATGATAAAGAATGGTCGATAATTAATGCTACACCCTACAATTGTACTGTCGATACACGATTAAGATGGCTGCAATATAGGATAATACATAGGATTTTAGGAAACAAAAAATTTCTGTTTAGAATTGGTAAAGTTCAGAACAATATGTGTACTTTTTGTAATAATGCAGTAGAATCAATTTATCATATATAATGCGAGTGTGAATATGTAACATCTTTTATTGAAGATATATGCAAGTCCATTAAGGACCGGTGTAACATTAATATTATTATAGATGATAAAATGCGCCTATTCGGCGTTTAAAGTACTAAAGAAAAGGCACTGAATCACACTTTAATTACTGCAAGGTATCACATTTATTGGACAAAATTAACAATGCGAGACCAAATGTAAATCAATTTTTTAAAATACTTAAATCGCATAACATAACGGAAAATACATTGCTTGTGTAAATTCAAAAATATGATCTTTGGAAACTAAATGGGATAAGTTACATTTTTTGTACAAAGTACTTTGTCTTTTAGTATAAAAAAAATGACAAGTTCAATGTCAATGTCTTTTTTTTGTCTTTAGTAATATATTATTTACAACTCTGTTTTATTTAAACGTACGGTATGTTTCAGTATCTTCTGGTCTTCGACCTAATTTTTTGTTATAATCTTTTTTAACCTTTTTTTCGAAATAAAATTTGAAAGTTAAAAAAAAGTGACTGCCCAATATGGTTTAATAGTAGGCCTATGTATAATATATAATTATATACAACTACATAGATTCCAAGTATTTGAATATTTACAAGCAGGGCAACAGTTCCAGCCATGCCCTCTAATGCCTACAATCATAATATGATCTACATATTATGTAGGCCTATATGAAACAAATATTTACCTGGTTTAATCGAGGCATATGTATATCAATATAATTATATTATACATCCTCTTCTTTCATTCTTTATTCGCAAAAATTGGAACAATAGAATATAAACATTCAACCCAGGACACGTCTTGAATGAAAATACACCAACAAAATGCAGGGAAAACAGTAATTTTACAAATAATTACAATATTTATGGGTTTTATTCTTTATGAATAATTACATGGAAAGAGTAAAAAAATAGTGATTAATTATATATACAATTAAATATATAATTATATATATATATACATTTATATATATATATATATACACTTCGCTGGGAACATACGTGCTGCTTATTACCATCTTATTAATGCCTACTTTATATAATAATAATAGTAATAATAATAATAATAATTATTATTATTATATATATATATATATATATATATATATAATTATATGAATATATATATAGGAAAAAAAAGAAACTGAAATAAAAACGCAGTTTCCATCGGGACTCGAATCCAGAATGTCATACCCACTTGACCACGAAGACATTGTGGCGAGCCAAGCCCCAGGCGACTTTGAATTCTTTTCACTTTTTTCACTTTAATGTATCTGATTATTTTGATAAAGCAATAAAATCGAATGTAAGTAGACTCTCAGAAATCGGTAAGATAAACCATTTGTCATTTTGTAATCTTCAGTTGGAATCTGCAGATAAGATCTGATATATTACAGCACGACATTTGCAGACACTGTACCCGATAGAATAATTTGTTCTGATGTGGTTCGGTGCTTAAGACATGGCAGAGTTTTTTGCAAACCTAATCTAAAATCATTATATTTGAACGTATATATTATTGGATTTATACACAAAGACATTGCTACTGTAATATAGTGAATTGGTGAGTTAAAATCAATGTCACCATCAAATGTAAAGTAGATATAACATATTTCGGTCGGAGCCCAACAAATAACGTATGTCACACCAACTATCATCATTGTCTTAACAATATTCAGACGTCTGGCCGTACTGCTTGCATTTTCCATAGATGAACCATCTGCAACTCGTTTTTGAAGTGTGCGAAAAATGTTGAAGTAGACAAACAATATTACAATGATAGGAATGATAAGAATGTAAACGAAACACAAACAAGCAAACGCTTTGTGGTACCCAACACTTGGCCAATTCTGAATACACTTTTTATTCTTCACACTGTAAGAAAATAACCACTGGCAAATAAATCCAAAACCACATACCCATGGAATCGTCAAAAGCAATACTTTTATCCTCGCCTTTTCTTTGAGTATATTGTATTTAAGTGGATGAGTTACAGCAAAATAACGATCAACAGTAAGCACCAGAAGATTAGTTGTAGAGGCATATGTAGTTGACCAGAATATATACTTGCTTGACCAGAACTTACAAACAAATAAAGATGCAACATTCGACTCTGGGAGCCGTGTCATCAAGTGTGGATCCAGAAAAATACAAAGTGACGTCAAAGATGCGAAAAAGTCAATGATACACTGATTTGAGATAAGAAGATTTGTTGTACTGTACCGATTCTGCAAGTTAAATATAATGAATATGGCGAAGCCATTTGTTGAACAGCCGATTGCACCGACGATACTGCAGATCAGTCTTGACGTGTTGTCCATCGTGGTAATTTAGACTATTTAGACGAAATGGGAAATGCACAAATCTTAGTAAAAGAGTAGATCAAGTGTGGTGGTACTACATTTCTGCCATTTATATAACATTTACATGGACAGCCTCCTTTATAATTATCTCAATTCAGTGAAGAGGCATTCAACCAATAAGACCACTAAGTGCATGATTTATCACCATTGGAAGTGAAAATCATATCACGAATCATATTAGGTGGTGTACGTGAGTGTACTGTCTTTATTTGCCATAACTATTACTTCTTTGAATTACTTGTTTAATTCCTGATGATGACATAATTAATGTCGAAATATTGAATCCCAACACGATGGCGTGTATTTCAATACTTGGAGTATGTATTATACTTTCTTACTTGTTTAAGTTAGCAAATTCTAAAGACTGAAAGTACAAGGAAACAAAGCACTAAGTTACACGATGTAAGTTGATTGATAGCTGTGAACTAGATAACGTTATTAATGAAATTGTATATAGGTATTGTTCACATTATAAAATTAGGAGCATAAACATAACATTTTAACGACATGGAAAATTGAAAAAATTTACAATACTAAAAGTGTTAATATCAGTCAGCCAAAATAGATAGTGACAATCGAGATAGGATTAATTGGTATGGAAATTGGTATCGAAAACACGGAAACTAGACCGTGGGAGAGATGGCTTAGGAGCATCGAACTTACTGTATATATTAGAGAAAGGAACTTTTGATCCCGCTAAAAGGAAACTGTTTTTATTGAATTGAGCAGGAATGAATATTCAGAATTCTGTATTCAGGTTACATTATTCTACTCTGTATGAGTTAATTATTAGGAAACGTGCATGATGCGGCGAAACGATTGTTTCTAGTCTACTTTGAAAAGATGATACAATTGGGGATTTTACATCAAAGTAGCGGACAATTAGCATTATCCGATCAACGTTTAAAAAAAAAAGAAATTAGATTGTTTAATTGGTTAAGTCAATGAAAAAAAAATAATAAGGATATGGCTATACGGTGTTGAAATGTTGAAATGCGCTTGCTGATTATGTGACACAAAGATGAAAGAATGTTTCCATACACTTATTTAGGCTGTTATATCCCAACACACCTGAAAATACCCTGATAGGAGACTAGATTGGGAATCCGGTATACAGTACTGTACTGTACAACACTATATTCTGTTATAATAATAATAATAATAATAATAATAATAATAATAATAATAATAATAATAATAATAATAATACAATTCGTATATAGCACGAACATATCTGGCAACATCTCAACACGCTTTACATAATTTAAAATGTATAATTTTACATTAAAAGTACAATGCATTTCATTGGTTAAGTCAATGAAAAAACACTATATTCTGTTAATGATGATAATAATAATAATAATAATAATAATAATAATAATAATAATAATAATAATAATAATAATAATAATAATAATAAACATATCTGGCAACATCTCAACACGCTTTACATAATTTAAAATGTATAAATTTATATTAAAAGTACAATGCATTCAACATCATTTTGAAAAAAAAAACCTTTTTCTGATCTCACGAAACTCGATTAGGCGTTAAAGTAAATATCACATAAAGAATTTTATCACATCCCTTACGAGATGGAAATTGTTACATCTTACATTACCTCACATGAACGCCCTTCCACTCTATCATAGCTATTACCATCAAAGAAACAACCCCTGGACTTCAGGAAATTGAAGTCCCCAAGAAAAGTACAGTACATCCAGGTATAGAAACACAAGCCAAATCTCTCTCAATAAAGTGTCAAGAATTTAGAATACAAATTACCGTCAGTGTTATACAAAACATATAAGTTCCAATGGTAGGCCAATCCTAATTTCATTAAGTTGGATGATGTTCGATTTACATGTAAAAAGTAGGCGATAGGCTACAATGAAGGAGTGCACTTCAGGTACATAATAATCACAGGGGCATTTTGGTACTTTGATATAATCATAATCTCAGACTTACAGTTCCAATACACCGTACTGATACGCTAAATAAATTCCCTACACATATGGGATTGTTGTTGATTGGAATACACTCCGTAGGCATGTTATAGATTCTCCTTATCTTTCTGTTTTTGAAACCAGACTTCTATAATATCTTACACTTCATCATTCCGATTCTTTTCCCATTTGCCTTTAAATAATATTATTTTTATTATTATTTAACTCCTAAAATATATATTCCATAGATTATATAGTAATTACCTTGATTTTATATACACTATAAATATTTTTGATTTAATTTATCATTGTTAATGTTACTAGGCTATAGTAAGCAGACTTTCACATCCATATAATAAAGTGAATTTTTTATAATTATTTTTTTTCAAAATTTTTATTTATTTATTTATTTTAATTCATTTATATTTATCCATTAAGTATAGGTAAGCTGACATTCACATATAAAGTACGGTACATATTTGTTGGCAAATCATATTTATAATTGAAAGTTTTCAATCAATTCATCATATAAGTCTTTTAAGTTTCAATGTAGTTTGTTTCGTGTACTATTAATGCTTACCTTCTATAAATGTTATTAATCTGTATATGGGAGTTGTTTATATAGGCTTATGCCCGCTCAGCAACACTTGATTGCTTTGTTTTGTTGGTTCCTTTAATACTTGATTGAATTGTTTATGTAATCCATGTTGCAAGTGAAATAAATCTTATTTGGTTTGAGACCTGGTCTGTAGAAAACATGCGTAGCCCAGGTCTTCAGTTACGGTTATCCTGATGTACTTAAAATTCGAAAAGACTATAGAAGAACGTAGAAAGTTAAGATACTTCGTACTACCGGAGAGAGACGTTATAATGGTTGTTCAACCTAATAAAACCTGCACCTTACTTCCGATCAGCACCAAATAGGGAGGACCAATATACATGTGAAATTGTCAATGTGTGAAAATGTGAAGTAAATCGGTCCAGTAGTTTTTTATTATGCCCCTGCCCCTGGAAGGACACACACCACACACAGACACACACACACACACACACACACACACACACACACACACACACCTACACACACACACACACATACACACACCACACACACACAGACAGACAGACACTAACGCGCGCAATTGCAAAAATAAACTCTTTTTCGTAGAGGCGAGGGTATGAGTACAAAAAAAGCCTTTACCAACCAACATCAAATTAAAAAGCACCGGTAGTTAGGATAATCAGAATATCAAATTTTATCGGAATATTCGCACTCCTGTCCCTTTACGTTTGGTCTCAATGAAATTATCAGAGCGGACCAAGAGCTTTTTGCTGTTCACTTTACTAAACATACGGTATGTCATAGCCAAGGGGAGATGGCCCGGATGTCTAAAGAAAGAGCCCCAGTGGGCAAAGAAGCGCATCCCTGGCGGATGATCTTGGGGTTGAATTTGAATTAGAACGATTATAACCTTTGTTCTGTACAGTTAATTGTTAAACATTTTAATCGTAGTATATCTCCTTATTCTTTCAATTTAATATACTTATTATATAATACCAATAATTATATGCGTGTCATTTTTAAAGATGTTTTTTATATAAGGTAACGTCATTCAAACGTTCGTAATAATAAAATATTTTTGTGGAACAAAGTGAAAACTTTGTCTAACTTTAATAAGCCCAATTATTTATTGCTAACTTGCTTATTGAATAAAATATATTAGTTTTGTGATATAAAATACGCAGAACCTCTGTGGTTATAGAAGATTGAGATGAATAATCGTAAACACATCCTGATTAAAATTGTTATAGCCAGATGATCATCTGCGACACTATTGATGACGTCTAAAGAAATTATCAAATCGGACTATTATACCATATTTTTTTATAGATTAGGAAATGTGTAAAACTAAAATATACTCCATTTGGCCTATTTGACTGAAACAACATATAAAAGCGACAAACGTAATTGTGTCTCCTCCTATAACACTAGACGCAGGGTTCCCGGAACGCAGCCCTCAGCCCTCAGCGGCGTGTGCGAAGCACAACTCAGAGCCAAAAGTGGAACGTTGAATTTCGATATGGTTTCGTTGTATTGTCAGATTTTCGAGAAAAACTTCAGCTACCCGTATTTCTCGACTGAGACGTCAATGGGAGCCGTAATTTGTATGGCAAGGATGGTGCTACCCTTAATTCGTATTAAGGGAATTTACGCCCACAAACCTAGTGGTTATTAATATTTTGGTTATAATAGAAAATGTTTATTTTTTGGTGACGTCACACTCACGCTATAGTTAGCATGCATACGTCATAAGCTAGATTACGTCACATTTTCCTGGTAAGGCAAACTTTCCTGGCGTGCTTTTTTCATGGATAAACAAACACCAAGGCTTTGCACATGAATGCCTTGGTCTACAAGAGCCGCATAGTTAGCATATAATACTTGAACAAGGTACGTCTGCAACTTAAATAAAAGACATCAGGTTAGTTACTTGGAGGTCGTGGGTTCGATTCCCATCCGAATCACTTGCGAAACTTTTTTTGCAAGCATTTAGGAATGTACTGAGCATTCAGTACTTATAACACGTCAGGTATGGCATCAACATCATTTCGTATTATTTCTCCTGACGAAATACGCCATCCGAAAAGATACATATGTATGTACAGCGTATGTAACCATATATTGTTGGCATCAAATATTTAACTACTTATTACTTCAACTAATTATATTTATTTGTCATATAAAACTGACTTTAAACAAAACAAATTATAGGCTCTTGGACGTGTTCGTCCATCTCATTTCATTTTAATATGGACTTGTTCGTCCATCTCATTTAATGTTAATCGTTCTTGATATGCCAATGCTTTTTTTGAGAATGTATGGACGATGAATGTTTGATAAAGATGGTTACAAATTCAATGTGGTATTTCTAACCAATCCTTCCTACCTAGCAAACATCATGTTGAAAATACACATGTTAGACATCAAACAATTTTCTTTTAAATCATCTGATAATTATAAAGTTTAACTGATTAATATTATATTTATCTTTTATTATTTATGAATTTTCGTAGAACGTGTACAAATTACATACACTACCTAGGCAGAAAAGTTATTATGACCGCTCGGCGCGCCAGGCCTTTACCTATCTCTAGGTAGTGTTTTACAATTTTTAAAGGTTTTTAAGGCTGTGTATGGTTTTCGAGAACGTAATTTTAATAGAGACAACTTATTAGTGTCAACTCTAAATGAGTATTTGTTTGACAGCTTCAAGCTGAATTGTAGGTGGCGTGAACTACTATACCTATAACTTGTTTACATTTTATTAATATTTTGTCGCACTGACCTTTTTCTTATACTCTGTTTAAGCTTTAACCATACTGCTGTCAGATTTAAGTGAGGATATGGACTTACGGTCTGAAATAAATGTGAAATGAAATGAAAATAAAAATATTAAGAGGGCCGGCGTAGCGACAAACACAGATTCCAAGCTGTGAATAAGGACAGTGTGGTATGTATTCTTACCAAATGTATGGGTGGCAACCCGAGTCAATTTTAATTTAAAATACTGAATAATATACTATAACGACTGTATTTATACTTTTTGGCTAAAGAGAGGATTGTGTGGCACGTGCCTTGAAAGCGAAAGATCGTGGTTAAATTTCTGCCGATACGATCTTTACATCAATCAAGCGCTTTTTTTTGCCATTATTTGATAATATTTATATAGGCATATAATTATTTGATAACATTTATATAGGCATATATATAAATTTATATATATATATTATAAATATACACCTTTATACAGTGTTACGCAGAAAAATTATGTATTTTATATATATATATATATGAATACACATATTGATATATATATATATGTATACATATATATATATATATATATAAAATATAGAAAGACAGCAATATAAAACAGCCATGAGTTGTAGACATATTAGAAGCAATATAATTTATTAATTCACAAATATTTCAAACACTCCTGTGTTCTTCCTCAGTGTCAGTTGTCCTCACACTGAGGAAGAACACAGGAGTGTTTGAAATATTTGTGAATTAATAAATTATATTGCTTCTAATATGTCTACAACTCATGAGGACAACTGACAAAAAATACAAAGTAAAGCAATATTTACACACGAAACGAAAATAGAACATCGAATCAGCGGTAAAGAACAAAGGCGCGTAATAATAATTACTCTACAGACTGTTTCATGCTCATGCAATCTTTAGGAGTGAGAGAATACAAGGATTGTGTGAGTATATGAATTTTAATGCAGGTGAAAATGCAAATGAGTTAATTGTTTTTAATTAAGTATTTGTTGTTGTGCCTGAATTTAGACAATATCTCGGTTCTTTTGTTTAGTATTGACTGTTTGTCTGAATATATTATGTGAAGTTTTTCGGTTATGCATAGGTTGCAGCGTCTTGTTTTTGGGGAGTAAGCCGATGCTCTGTCGATAATAGACCATTTGCTATTGTAGGGTGTGTTGCTGTCTTTTAATTTCCATATGTATTTGGAGAGTACAGTGCTGTTTCTGTGTTTGGGGGTGTTAAAAGTGTATTTGTGGTTTGTGTATCGGGTTTTGAACGGTGTGTCGTTGAGCCCGATGTAGCATTTTGTGTCATCATTTGAGTGGACAGTGGCTTTGTAGATGATGGATGAGGTGAGGCAATTTCCAGAGAGTGGACATTCATCTTTTTTCCTGCAGTTGCAGAGTTTATCTGGCTGTTGTTGCTTAGCAACCAGAAGCTGTTTGTTATGGGCTCTGATTATACTGGCCATGTTTCTTGAGCAGCTATAGCTGACTTTAACATTGTTCTTGTTGAACAGCTTGTGCAAAATGTTGCCACTCGGAAAATGTTTCTTTACGAGGTTAAGGAATGATTTTCCGATGTTGGTTTTAATGGTGGGTTGTACCAGATTATTTGTCTGCTTCTATTACTTTTTTGGGATTTTGGTTGCGGAGGCTGGTATTCTATTTCTGTCTCTTATACACATCTAGATGTGTATAAGAGACAGATCCCGATGATGTAATGTTAATCCGGATTTCGAGACCTCAAAGCAAAGTATAAAAATCCAATATACATCCGATAAAGCTTTGATTTTGTTATTCACATTACATTTTAAATCTGTATTAAATAAAAAAATATATAGTTGTATGTAATTTAAATTTATCTTATACTGTATAAGTTTATGATTTTCTTAATCAGTTCTGAAAGCACGCAATATCGCAATTACACCTATCATCAAATTACCATTGATACACAGATTGATCTCTATTCATTAAATACATCCTTGCTGTATTTATTCCTTGTTGAATTTGTTAAATAGTTTTATTTTATGGACTTAAATAATTACAGCGCTTCTGTGTTGTTTTTCAGTGTTTTGTTTAACTTACTTCCCTACAATACTACCGTATCCCTTAATATAAGATAATAAACTATATAAATATATTTAGTATATATTTGTAGAAATACATTACTTTTACAAAGTCAAAACCAAGTCAAAATAGTTGATACATATGAATCTAAGTGTTCTTTTTTTTCAATAAAATGTTAGCTTTATCTGAATTCTCAGTATTTTGCCATTGCTTACTTAGTAATACATTGCATGTCGTTATTATAGAACACTTTCAATTAGATCTGGTGAATATCTAATTGATGAAAATAAACATAACAAAATACAGGTGGATGCACTATTGGAGACTCTGGACAATCAATAAACTAGGCTAATGTATTGCATTTAATAAGGTATAGGACAAAGACATCAATCAAGATTAATGAAATAAATTAATAATTTAATGGTTCTTCGTTAATATTCTATCAATTTCACAATTCATTATATTTATCAACATTGAGAAAAAATAGAAATTATATTGATTGGTTACGTCAATGAAAAAAGCCCATATTGATAATACTGCTATACTGTGTTGAAATGCACTTGCTGGGTATGTGACACAAAGATGAAAGAATGTTTCCATACACTTATTTAGGCTATGTCAAGTCCCAACACACCTAGAAATACACTGATTGGAGATTAGATTGACAATCCAGTATACAGTACTGTACGACACTATATTCTGTTGAGGTTAGTAGAACTCTTATTAAAGGGGAAAACCTCGGGACACAAAGAATTGTCCCCTTTATAGAGACGGGGTTTTTTTTTATGTGGAAGGCGCTATATAAATATATGACCATTGACCATAATTATTATTGGCCTAAGAATAAGTTACAGTTGAATTAGTATTAATTTATAACAACAATTTGCAGAGCAAAATCATTTGATTATATGAAATAACAGAAATGTAGGCCCCTAATTTAAAAAATAAATAAATAAAAACAAAACTGTACATATTGTTTTATGATTAGAGTGAATGTAAATAACCAAATATTATTATTATTATTATTTTTATTTTGAGCTTTCTATTAGATGTAAATATAAAATAGCATGAATTAGAAACGACTTAGAAATTAGGGTGCAGACTTTACAGTGTAAACACTAAACAAGAAATCCCCATGGTTAATGGTCTAAATTAAAATATTGTATTGCACAATGTACATTAAAACGTGCACTAGGTCTACATATTGTGTAGGCCTATTGCTCAAAAGCTGTCAAAATATAAATTTGAATAGATTTTAAGACTATTGTAGTTGATTGGATACAAAAAAGTCTCCCCTTAATAATAATAATAATAATAATAATAATAATAATAATAAAATAATAATATGTCGTTTTTATTTTTTTAGTCCCAGCCACAACCGATGTACCAACCGCTTCTACAATGGGGTAAATATATTGATTTGACCATTTTGCACATTCAGGACGTGTCCTTGTCCCCTTAATAGATGTGTTTTCTTAATAGGTGTTAGCTTACTCAGTAGTGTTAAAAGATACATTTCCCCTTAATTGTTTCACGGAAAAGTACCTCTTTAATAGGGGTGTCCCCTGAATATGAGTGTCCCAAAGGAGGGGTTCTACTATTTCTTTTGTGCTATGTTGAACTCAATGAGACGTGTATTCTCATATCGTGGATATTAAATTAAATTATATTATTATTCCATAATTGAAGCTAGTAATCAGCGCCTTGCCCAAGGACACAAGCGATTTGCACAGCGAGAGTTTGAATCCCCTACCTCTAGGCTAGTCTTTCAATTTCAGACTAGGCCTAGGTCTAACCTAATATTAAGTATTCCATTAGCTTCTCTACCTAGGGTAGATCTAGGCTTAGGTGTCTAAACGAACAATGTTATTTTTATATTTGATATTAATTAGAAATTGTCAGATTATTTTGATGTGTGTATGTGACCTCCTAAGTGTAATCATGGAAAAAATATTTATCGCTACAAAATTACATGTACATAGACGCCATATTGTAATTTTGTAGCGATAAATATAGTTTTTCCATGATGGCACTTAGGAGGTAGGTATATATTTTGATGTCCAAATATCTTACTAATAAATCAACATCTAATAAAATGTCGAATAAAATAATAGTAATCGGTAATTATATTGAATATATATGTTAGTAAAACAGATTTGGAGGTAGGTGTATATTGATATCCAAATATCTTACAAATCAACATCTAATAAAATATCTCATAAAATAGTAGTAATCGATAAGTATATTGAATATATATGTTAGTAAAACAGCTTTTATGTGTTAATTTGGTAAAAAATGTTGTGGTTCAATCTTATGTTAATTTACACATATACTTTTGTTTGCAGGTTTTTGGTGGTTGCACACAATCCAGGTCATTGTCAGTTTAGAGCTTGATGGTGTTGCTCGTTTTCGTTTAGATAAATGGAGATAACTACAAGCTATCACATACTATTACCATGACCTTCTACACCAACCCAGGGAACAGAGGACCCTGCGGAAAATACCTCAAATACCAACAGAGGGTGCACGTCATCAGATGACATCGGCCGATGACGAAATGATCTGAGATTAGGTCATTTACCTGATGAAGATACTATTTCGAAACCGGTTTAAATACTGTAGTGTTTAAACAAGCTTAAAAACTAAAAATTGCAAATTGCAAGCGAAGTGCTGCGAAGTACAACTGCATATAAATGTTCTTCGAACAAAATTATTTATGCGAGTCAAGTGAAAATAATGAATAATAAAAATATAACAAATAATATGAGACACGACCCATTGTCTATATTACAACACTGACGAGCTGACGTAGAAACATAAGAACGAGCGTTGGTACCGTGTATGCCAGTCTACAACAAGCGTCGCCTAAATGTAATAATTAGCATGCTGATAGGCTAGTAAATAAGTTTAACTGGGTTCGTAAATAATATTGGCCTGAAAATATTTTGGCTGGGACATGGGCCGATTAAACCTAGAAATAGGAAACCTAGAAATAGGAAAACTAGAAATATAGTAAAAACGCTGAATAGTAATACTCGAGCGTCGCCACATGCTGATGTTGGTACGTGTAGGTTATCTACAAACGTCGCCTAAAGTAATTGATTTTACCCGGCAGAACGAAAGAAGGAAACTCCGCTTTTCAGTCATCTTAGGCCCTTGTTTTTTGACAAACAATGACCTTTCTGAGGTCAAATTGTTGTCAAGAATATAAATTGGCTGCTTCACAGCAATTAAAAAGCATTTATTTAAATTTAATACTGAAAAGCATATTGTGGATAAAGCATTTATTTAAAAAATTGAAAAACATATTGTAGATAAAGCATTATTTTATTTAAAGAGTTTAATACTGAGGAGCACGATATGTATAAACCATTTTTTAAACAGATTTAATTTCTGTGAGGCATGTTTTTTATTTAGCCACTTTTTTGAAACAGTTTTAAATATTGAGAAAATATTAAAAAGTTTTAAATATTTTTCTGTTAAAACGGATTTAAATACTGTTATGGCTATTGCGAATAACTTTTTTTTTTTTACATATTTGAATACTGTGAAGCATATTGTGGTTAACAATAAATATTATTATGTAAAGTATATTATTATGTTGTTTTGTAGCATTGTAAACAAATTTTTTGAAATCCATTCTTATAACCCACCAAATCATACATTTCTACAAACTTTTAATACTAAAACTAAAAATCAGTACACCCTTATATGTACTGAAGTATCTATTAGTATTTACATGAATTGCATACTCGCAGCATTTCACTTTCTATTAGAAACTGCTAGTATAAGAGTAGTTTTGAATCTTAAATATATGCTGTAATCTGATTGTAACTTGGGCTATTGCCCTTTATACAATAAAAACGACGAAATATTATGGATCTCATGTTGTCATATAGAACACTTAATGAATAAGGTCTGAATATAATTGCTGAACAAGCAAAAACAAAAACCAAACAAAAAAACAATTGAATGGCTATAAAGCCTCTAATAAACAAGCAGTTTACAGTATTATAATGGCCGGACCACTTGCAAAATGCTTCCGACGGCTACGCATCTCCACCATCTCCATCATCACCAGTTATGATTAGAATTGTTGTTGCTGCTGTGCCTACTGCTGCCCTTCTGCTTTTGTTGTTGGCTTTTAAAGCAAACGCGCAAAAAACATTGTTTTCGTTTATGTTGTTTCACTTTTTCTCTACATCACAGGTGGGCGATTATGGGGTGCCATACGCAGCAAAAGTCCATGTTAAAATCAAAATGTAATCATCTATTATCGATCGTATACTTGTCAGTGATATTAGTAAAATAAGTAAACAAGGTGTTATTGAAGTTGGACATATTTTACATATAAAAGACTAAAAAGTAACTATGTCTCTCATAAACAATTACATATTATTAGATCACTTAAAAACTATAATGTCGATGTATTTAATGATATGTTACTCTCTATGGATTATTCAGCTATTTTTAGCACAAATGATGTAAATATTGCATGGAGTAATTTTAAATATATATTCTTATCAACTCTGGACCAGATTGCTCCATTAAAAACTGTACGTAATAAACATAAACAGAAAAGTGGATGACTCCAGACATCTTAAGTAAGATTGAAAAACGAGATTGTGTTTCAAAGGCATTAAATAAGGATAAAAATAATGCTGTTCTATGGGATCAATATAAACAATTAAGAAATGCTATTCAAAAAGATAAAAAAATGGTAAAGCTAATCTTATTTTAAGTTATTTAGAAAAAAACAAAAATGACCACAAAAAATTATGGAATCGTCTAAATTGTTTGGGAAGTGGTAAAGGTAAAACTAAAACGAACAATATTGCACTAAAACTAGGAATTAATGTCTGTAACGACCCCCAGAAAGTTTCTAACCACTTAAATAATATTTTACTACTATGCATCTACTCTTTTTGCCAAATTACCAACCGCTCCCAAATTATATGATGTAAATTCTGAAAGTTTTAACAATTTTTACAAAAATAAAATTAATAATTTTAAGATTTGACTTTAGTATGGTCGATGAAGATACTGTTGAGACGGAACTCAGACGATTAGATTCGTCCAAAGGTCCTGGTATAGATAAAATCCCTCCACTTTTCCTGAGAGACAGTGCGGCTACTATAAAAACTAGTATAGCACATATTTTCAATCTTTCTCTTTCCCAAGGGATAGTTCCAGATGATTTTAAATTGGCTAAAATTAAACCAATCCATAAGAGTAATTCAAAGACTGATACCAGTAATTATAGGCCGATCAGCATATTAAATGCGGTATCTAAGGTTCTGGAGAGTATAGTGGGCGCTCAAATTAAAATTTACGTAAAAGATAATAACATTTTAAATGAATGTCAATCAGGTTTACGAGAGCGACACTCCACGGAGACCTAATATAATATGTTTGATCATATCAAAGACCAGACTTCTCAAGGAAAGTATACTGCTTTGATTGTTCTAGAATATTAGAAAGGCTTTTGATTGTGTCGAATTTGAAATTTTGATAAGTAAACTAAAGACAATTGGTATTAGTAACATAAATTGGTTCAAATTTTATTTAACTAGCAGACAATGGTAGTGTTTCGAATATCAGGAAAATTTCCCACGGTGTTCCCCATGGAAGTCTTGGGCCCTCTGCTTTTCCTCATATATATAAATGATATTAATGCCTGCATTACTCCCGATTGTAAAATTTTACAGTACGCTGATGACAGCGCTCTATTATTTTCTCATGACAATCCATGAATAATCGAGGAGAAGCTGGGAGCCAACCTTGAAGCTTGTAACAATTGGCTTTTGGATAACGCTCTTTCGCTCCAGTTGGGAAATACTGAGAATATTCTCTACTGTACCAAACGAAAACTTAAACTAGTTAATGAGCTTCTTCTTCCTGGTCGTCGTCTTTTAAACAAAATGCCCACTAAGAAACTTCAAATAACACAAAATAAAGCCATCCGTTTAATTTTAGGACTCCGTGCGAGGATACATGTTGGTCATTCTCAACTCTCTGTTCTCAGTTTATTAAGCATATCCGATAGATTCGAATTTCCTAAATTTTGTCACGTTTACTGAATCTTTCATCAACTTAGCCCACAATATTTACAAAATCATTTTACACGACTCAATAGCTCGTTTAACTTTCGCATCCCACATGTTAAACATCCCAACAATACAACATTTTATTATACAGCAATCAAATATTGGAATTCACTACCATCATACATAAAACAATCAACATCACTCAACGTATTTAAAATCAAATTAAAGCATCACCTTGATAAAAGATTCCGTAATATTGCTCTTACTCTTTAATTATCTTGTTTTTATTGTTGCTTTGATAACGTTGTTGGTAGGTCCTCCTTTTTATTTAATTTTTTTTTGTTTTAAATTGTTTTATGTTGTACATCATATACCAATTCTTTTGTATGTCTCCGTTTTTGTTTCATGTGATATTTTAGGACCCCGTTGGAAACAAGTTCTTCAGAACTTTCACGGGTTACCCTGGAATTAATATCCGTTTTTTGTTTGTTAATATCAATTTTTTTCGTATTTTTGATGAAGTATTTTATTACAACTTATGACATTTTTACTAGGGGCCTATTTTATCTTTGTATTTTGATATTTTTTGTACTTTATATTTTAATATTATGACAAATAAAACGAAACGAAATCATAATAACAATAACGATGATGATTATAATGATATAATAGGATTATAATGATGATGATGATGACCATGATGATCCTGATCATGATCATGATGCTAATGATGATGCTGATGATGATAACGATGCCGATGACAACCACGGCCATGCTGGTGACCACGACGACGATGACAATGATCACGATACTGATGATGATTACTATTAAGTGAGCGCCATACTGCTAGACCACAGCAGAACAACGCGCAGATGCATTCTCTCATTCAACTGACTGCGCTAAGGCTAGCTTGTAGCACTAATTATAGTTTTTTAAATTTGTATTTAGGTTAGCGATTAATGTTACCATGCAATCTGCCAAGCAGCACAGAACAAGGTCAAGGAACGATATAATTGTATTTCACAACTCAAATTATTTTTAAAAGTAATTGAAAAGTCCATCTCAGCTCTTAATAAATTACGAAATGATACATAACAGTAGGGCTTTCACGTTAAATAATTTTGTTTAGAATACCGAGGCTGTATATATTTAATTGCAGCCCTGATAGATTCTTTAATAGATGGGTAATGTTGATCTATATTTTATAAATCTAACTGTGCAACAAATAGCCTTACATTCAAATACAAGTGGATTGGCGAGACGGAAAACATGCTTTAGCTTTAAAAAAAAAAAGCTGCTCTCTACAAAGAAATCAAAATCATGAATTAAAAGATAAAATTAACTCAAGTGACCTTTATTTACTAAGAACTTGTTTCAATAAAGAATAGCACTAGTGAAATATTAAAAAGTGATACAGTACTGATAAAAAATATGACCGTATGACAATAATTGTATTTCTCGATGACCCTTTCGGGGTATGAAAGAAAAGTTATTCATTTATATTAAATTTAACTAATATGATGGTAAAAAATGCGTATAGCTTATTAAGCATATAAAATATATAACATGGCAATCAATAAATAAGGAATTTATAA